TGTCCCATTCCTCACAGGCGCCCCTGAGATCTGATCCAGCGTGTTATACCCCGACGTCCTGCCTGCCTGTGAAGCCAGCAGGTTTGAAAACAGAAGTGGAAGGCTTGTGCTGAGTGCTCTGCAAGGTGGCCAGGAACTGACCGCAACAAACAGGAAGGGGAATAGGAGGGGATGACCATGCAGAGGAGAAGGGAGAGCAGGTGTGAGGCATGCAGTAGGGTGGAGGAGGAGGAAACGGACTGGCTGGGAGGGACCTGGAGCAGGAAGGAGCAAAGGATGTTGCAAAGGGATGGGAAAAGCAGGGTGAAGAGCAGTAGCGGGCATTTGTACATCACAGCTATGGGAGAATGAGTGGTTTGGGATTTTGAAGGAACCTAGCCCAGAATTAGGGGATACAGGCCATTAGTCAAACCTCCTAAAGGACTTGAACATGAGACACGTCTGCCCAGCAGACCACATCACAGGCACCCAGAACCATGATGCATGTGCTGCTCCAGAGCGATATCACGTCAGCATGGCATTGCTCCATCACAGTCTCCCTCCCAGAGACTTCTCCCTTTGTCTCTTGGTCTTTTCTGGCACTGTCCAGAGCAAAGCACAGGGATTTCTCTGCCTCTGGGAGATAACTTCTCAGCCTGGTGAGGGCTGGAGAGGCCCTAGAACATGTTAATGTTATTTATGTCAGCAGGTAGACTCTGCCACTGAGATTGGGCTACTGTTGTGCCAGGCACTACACAAAATCGTGGTAAGAGGTGATCTGTGCTCCAAAAAGTTTATTATCCAGAACAAGCAAGGAGATGAAGTTACTTGCTCAACTGGCCCAGTAAGTCAGTAGCAGAAAGTGGGAAGGAGCCCTGGCTTCCTTCATCTGAGGTTGGTGCTTGGTGGACCAGCTCAGATCATTTCTCACATTGCCCATATCAGCATATTCTGCTTGCCAGTGTTTATCTCACATGCTTGAGCAGTAGCCCTCAGGACTCTGCAGTTTGGTTTTGTTTTATTTTATGGAGGAAGTGACACTCACAACATGCTCAGAGGTTATGTTGCTGCATTGCAACAGCTCTCATCCTACGCAGAGATGGAAGAGATCCGAGCAGTGCAGATGTGATGACTCAGCTTTGCTGGATTTTACAGTAGTGGAGCTCCATCGACATTTCCACAGAGATATTCTGATGAGCTTGGTGTAAGAGGAAAAAATCAAACCTAGTGATGCTGCCCCAAAGTTAGCCACCCAAAGCAAGCCTTCACCAAAGCCTTTCTCCTCCAATACAGCACAGCAGCACACAGGGAGGAAGGACACGCACATCTCCCCAGTTTGAGATGCCTATGATGCAAAAATACCTACTCGATCTAGTTACCCTGACCTCCTTTTGTAGTCAACACAGAGAAAACAAATGCAATTAGGGCACAGCTTCTCTGGTTTCTTATAAACATTTGCTTTGAATAAAACAACCTGCTGTCTGGAAGCACTCATGCCCCTGACACTGACACAGAGACCCCCTTGCTCAGACACAGCTCTTGATGCTTGGTCAGATGAATCCCAACCTGGTGCTCCCATGGAGAACCAAAAAGGCTGGCAAAAGCCCAGTGCACTGGATCTCTTTGGAGTGAGAAACTCCCCTCCGTTTGCACAGATTAACACATGTCATGCAGAATTACATGTAATCTGTAAGTTCTTCAGGGGTTAATTCATTGTGGCAAGAGGTGGGTGGTTCCTACTCAAGCCTAAGCTTTGCATCAAAGGCACCTGAGCATCCCTGGTAGCTGCCTGGTTTGAGGTGAAGCTGTGCTTCTCAATGAGACAAACCAAGTTGGGGGAAAAGGCTGCTGTGCCAATGATACAGCGCTGAGTTAAGGAAGGGGCAAGGTCAGCTCTGTGGGCTAGGAGAGGGGACGCTGCGCTGCTCAGGTGTGAAGTGGCTAAGTCTGACTGGTTTTACTCTCTCTGTTGGCCTTGGATTTGAGAACAGTATTTTTGGTCACCCAGACAGGGACTTTGTCCCAAGTCTCAGCATGCCAGAGCCCCAGGGGTGACCAAGAAGAGTCACCTTCACCAGGAGGATGACAAATCTTTTATCAAGTAACTATCATTTGAGGAAAAATCTGGTCAACTTCACCAGGAGGACCACCAATCCCTTATGAAGTAGATACTGCCAAGCACTACCACTCTGCCCAACTGCGAACTGCTTTTCCTCTCAAAATTTCCATCTGCAGTGGGATGATCAAAACAAGCCATTACTAATCAATGATCTCAAGTTCCAAGATAATGCCAGAGTTGCGCACATTCCAGCTCTGCTTCTTGTGATAGAGCTGCATACATTAGTTGCTACACAATGTTGTTTCAAGCTGTATGTACACTTACATAACCTTGTACCATATAATCAACACATTTCATAGCACGAAGAGATCAATCATGCTGATCCCCGTCACAGAAATGTACCTCTGCTTCCTATCATATTGTGAAAACAACAAAAAAAAAACCCAACAAAAAGAATTTCCAACCTCCACACCTGCCAACGCCCAGCATAGCTTGATGTACCTTGAGATGTTTGCTCTTTTAAAACCCGTGAGCACCACATAACCACCAAAATCCAGCCACATGCTACTGCTGCAGCACAGAGCAAAGATCATGGGGAAAGGCTGGGTGGAGGTCTGCAGGTGGAGGGAGAGAAGGAAGAAAACAAGAAGAGTGATGGAAACAGAACCCTTTGCACTGTGTTCTCCCCACCAGTCCCCTTCCCAGGACACTCCCCACTCAGCCCTTCTCCATCACTGGATGCTTTTTCCAAGCCTGGGAATGGAAGCTCGCAGCCTCCTCCAGAGGCAGCATTAACAGCAGGCTGTGGGTACCGGTCCCGTACTCACCTCTCTGCTTGCTTTGCTCTCGCTGCACCTCTGGAAGAAGGACCACAGATAAGACAGGTACTGCCAGTATCTCCGAAGCAAGGACAGAGTACTGGAGAAGGGTGGCAGGGGCTGAGAGACCTGTAGGACCCGTTGCTACAGCGCTGCGTGGGTTATGGCACGTGGCAAGGAAACACCATGCTGCTGCTTCAGGGCCGTGTTGACCCTGCTCTAATGGGCCACCTCCTGATGCTAAAATATCGAGTCCTTGACCAGGGGCACGGGAGCCTGCAGTGGGGGTGGGATGCTTTCAGATAGACACTGGCAGTTTTGGGAACTTCAGTCTCCAGGTGCAGATCTTGTCCTATTATTCTCACTTCCACTTATTCTTCCTCCATGGAGCTGATCCTCTCCATAGAGCAGCAGCTCAGGGACGCTGCCTTCCCAGCCAGGGAGCAGTGTGGGGAGAGAAGGCATCTCTTTTTTTAAAGGGAAAAGAAGAGTGCCTGCCTTTACCCCAGCATTGCTTGCTCTAAGCCCCACGAGGTAACAAAATCACTGGTGACAGCTTTACTGGAGACCCATCCTTGCAGGGAGCCTTTCGGCCAGCCTCTGCTCTCCTCCAGCCCTCCACAAAGGTTCAGCCCATCTGAAGAACTGGAGAAGGAAGAGCAGGGGGCTGTTTCTCCAAAATGCAAGCCTGTCTTGTCAGGGTCACCACTGCCCCATCCCCTGCAGATGGACTCCTCACCCCATTATCAGCTGCAGCCATGTCCAGAGCACCCAGTGCACCTCTCAAAACACCCAAACAGAAGGAAACAGGGATACTGCAGGGGAGCCCAGCCCTTTTGTGACAGCTGCCAGGCTGGGTGCACCCTTCACCCCCCTCCTCCTTGGAGGCAGCACTGCACGCAGCGCCGCAGCCCGGCATCCTCAAGGCTCTGGTACCCTCTGCTGGCCCTGAGCGTTTCTTTTGCTGGGGAAGCCTCTCCTGGGGTGGTTGTCAGCCTGCAGGTCACTCGCAGGCACGGCAGGCGCCTCTCCAGAACACGCCGGGGGCTCGCTCCCCCTCTTTTTTTCTCCAGCACACGCAGCGGCTTCGCTCGCCTGCCATGCCCAACGCTGCCCTGGGTCAGAGTCCCCCCCCCAGGTGCTCTCGCATGTCCGAGCTGGCCCCAGGCTGCTGAGGGCAGGGACCTACCCGCACCTTACGTCTTCGGGAGGACGCTTACTACTTTGTGAGAAACGACAAAAACCTGCAGTTTGACAAGGGCGAGCGGCTGAGCCCAGGAGAGGCTCCTGGTCAGTGGGACAACCCTCCCTACAGCTGTTGGCAGACGAAAGAGGTGGCAGAGGCTCCTTTGAGGAGGGCGCACAGCTCATGGACATCACCCCACATCCCCATCGGGGCAAGGAAGGGGTTCTGCCCATGCCTGCAGCAAGGCTTTCAGACAGCCCTTTACGCTGCAGGGTACAGCGTTTGCCTGCTGCAGCCCTTGGAGAGGGGAAGGAGGGATGAGCAAAGAGCAGCTTTGAAGCAGGGAAGGGCAGGTCATTTCCCTCACTGCTGCTGGCAGACAGGGAAGATGGCAGCAGCCTGCACGCAGTGACCAGGTAAGATGCCTCTCGCACAGCTGAGCCTGACCTGGCAGCCTGCACCAACAGGATTTATGCCTTAACAGACACATCAAACCCCGAGTGAGAAATGAGTTTCTGCCTTCAGGGCTGCTGGTGCTGCCCCCGGGCTGTGTCCTGCCTCGAGGTGGGGTGCCAGGATGGGCGCTGGGCAGAGGGTACCAGGGCAAGCAGGAGGGATGCCTTCCCAACCAAAATCCTGCACAACCTCCCAAGGAAGGGAATACATCCACTCTCCCTCTGGGCAGCCAAAGACCCTGGGCTACCAATATCAGTCTTTATTTTTATACAAACTAAAAGCTTTTGGAGTTCATAGAAACATTGATGTGACACAGTGACAGAGCACCCAGGGGGAACCCTGACCACCCCAAACCCTGGTTCAAGGAGGAGGCCCTGGGATGTTTGGCTCCCCAAGGAAAAGCTTCTTCCAGGAGCAAGCTCCGACCCCACAGGGCACTCCGCCTGCATGTGGGCAGGGATCAGGCAGCAGCAGCTCCCTCCCCACACATGGGACAGGGAGGTCACTTGATGCGGTAGAGGACTTTGCGTTGCATGCGGTGCTGGATCTCCCCCCGCCGCATCATCAGCTGCAGCACCTTGTAGATGGCGTGTTCTGGGTATTTCTGGAAAAGGGGAGATGGGGGGGGAGGGGGGGAAGATAAGCCAGCAGGGAAAACCTCACCAAAGCCCAGCGGGAACCTACAACCATCGCTAAAGCCTGGCTGTGCCTCTCCGGAAGGAGGGAGCCTGGTGTCACCAGGTGCTGACACTCCTTTGCCCTTTTATTATTTCACGTCTGACTGCAGCCAGTCTCACAATATCAAACTGTTCTGGTTTCAAGGATAGAACCCAACCCACCTGAACAACCCCAAAGCTCAGTGCTTTTGCAAATGAGTTCTTGCCTCATTCCCCTTAAACTCTGCAATCACATTGCACCCCACTCCCTACAAACAACTTCAAAAGCAAATAGGACCAAAAGGCTCTCCAGCCACCTCTTGGGGTTTCACCCCCCGAGCAGCAGCCTGGGGTGTCTGGTTTCACAGCCCAACCCTCCATGAGGTCCCTGGCCCACCTGGCGCATGAAGTCCTGGACGATGCTGTGCTCCGACACCTGAGAGCCGATGGCAAAGCGGCGCTTGAGCTGCTTCTCAATGCGGGACAGCATCTCTTGGTCCTCCTGTGTCGTGAAGCCTTCTGCCCCTGGAGGGAGAGGCTGTGTGAGCTCTCTGTGCTGCCCAGACATCACTCTCAAAGCCAGAGTGCCCATCTTCTATGTCTCCCACCACACCTGGCACGTCTCAGAGACTTCAGGGAACCCGTGAACAAACCCACCATCAAAGGTGAGCTCCAATGACACAGCTGAACATGGCCCAGACTGCTGGAGCTTCCTTCAAACCCTCTGTGCCACGCTGCCTCCCAAGGAAGCACTGCCTTCAACCCCACAGGGAAAGACATACTGGTTGGGGAACCACCTTCAGGACTGGGCTCTGCCCTTGGGACCACAAGGGGCCAGACCACCCCTCCCTCACCCAGCACTGGTGGAGATCCTCAGCGTCATTTGTTGTTGCCCTCCCTGTGAGCCACAGCCCCACGGCTATGACAGCCCCTTGCTGCCACAGGCATTGCTTTGCCTTAGCTCAGAAAGAAGGTCCAGCACCTGCCTGGGGGGTGCCTGGTAGCACCCCCTGGCCCTGCCAGCCTGGTCTTGAGAGGAGAGCTTGTCTCTCCTTGCCCTGAGCAGCCAGGCCCAGCACATCCCTCCTGTCCCCAGCACCGAGCATCTCCCCTCACCTGACAGGCTGCCTGACATGGCTGCATCAAGCGTGGACACCTGGAAGAGCCGCAAGGCCTCTTCAACATCCGCCTCGGTGGCGAAGGGCTGAAGCTTCATCTTCCCCAGGGACTCGGCGATGCGTATGATGGCCTCCAGCTGCCTGCGGCCAAAGATGATGTTCCTTGCTTTCTACTGCAACTCCAAGGGGGCTTCTTCTCCTTCCCCCCAACCCCAGACACCCCCACCTACCCGACTCCAGGCACCTCCAGTGTTGCCCTGTTCACAGAGGGCTCCCCCAAACCCCAGCACCCCACTAAGCCCCTTCCTGGGCTACCCCAGGTGACTCCTAGCGATGCAACCCCAACCCCGAAGGTTTCGGTGGGGCGAGGAGGGCAGGGTTGCTCACCGGAGCGGCGGTCACTCTCCTGCTCGTGCTGGCGAGTGCCGCTCCGCATCAGGATGTAGCGGTTCTTCAGCTTCTCCGCCGCTGCCGCCGAGAGCCGAGGGCCACACTTCCTGCAAGGGGGGGGGAACAGGACCTGGAGGAGGGTCCCCTGGGCAGGGGAGTCCCCGGGCACCACTCACATCCTTGGGTCACGCTGCTGCACCATTGCGAGTTGCTCTCGCTTCCCTTTTTTCAAGGCAGGAGTTAAAAAAATGGTGACCCAGACAGAGCGCTTGCAAACACCAGCTGCGTGGTTCATTTCTCACCACTGCCTCCCACCATGCAGCCCAGGCACTGCCAAAATGTCATGCCTCTCACTCACGTCCGACAGAAGGAGATGAGCTTCTTCAGCTTGTTCAGCTCGATCTCGCCCTCCACGGCCTGGGTCTGCGTCAAGGCACTCACGTGTAAGGACATCACATGCTTGGCCAGCGTCTAGGACAGCAGAGGGCAATCAGGCAGCTGGAAACCCCACTGCCTCCCCCCACAAAAAAAATGGGGCGCCATGAGTCCCAGCTGCACCCACGTGCCCCAGCCTACCATGTCTCGCTCCTCGTTGTGCTCATCCTTGACGATGAAGATCATGTCAAATCGGGACAGGATGGTGGGCATAAAATCAATGTTCTCCTCACCCTTGGTCTCATCCCAGCGCCCAAAGACAGAGTTGGCAGCTGCCAACACTGAGCAGCGGGAGTTGAGTGTGGTTGTGATTCCTGCCTGTGGCGGGAAAGAGAAACGGATGGGATCAAGACTACGGATGGGGTCAAGACTATGTCCACTCACAGCAGGGCTAGAAGGCTATTAACTCATAATAAAAGGTCCAAAAGCAGTTTGCATTTAAATAAAACCCCTTAAGTAGCACCCAATTGCTCTGTAATGGTTCCACATTGGAGAGGGGTCAGCACAGGAAGTACATGGGGCTAGACTCACATGTCCTTCTAGAGGATGACTGGCTTCAGCTGAGACTTGAGCACTAAGTAACTTCATTTAAAACCTCACATCAAGGGCAAGGACACGCAAGACCCTATCACTAAATCTGCAACCTGAGACAGAAACTGGGTGACTGGGGCCGAGTTCCCCTGGGCAGCCCTGGGGGCAAAGTGTGGGTTTGCAGGTAGTAGGCAAGGAACAGTGGTGGGCGTTCTGTTACCAGGGACTGAACAGCTAAGGGGTGAGCCAGAGCAAGCAGGAGGGAGCAGAGGTGCTACAAAAAAGGCTGAGCAGTGGAAACGAAGAGAAACTCTGATTTGAGAGAAGACTTGGCACTGCCTTGTCAGGCAGTTTCTGTAGATCTTCTGAGGGTGTAGAGAGCAGTGGGAAGGAAGAAAAAGAAATGACATCATGCTGCGACACAAGGATATCAGCAGAAATACTAAATCTAGAGGAGCAGAGGACAGGTAGAGCAGAGGGAGTTCATTTCAGTCCTGTTGAAGTTCAGGCTGCCTGAGAGAAGACAACCCAAAGCCCACAGGCAGAGCTGAGCAGTCTCGGATCAGAAAAACCAGTAACCATCAAAACCACTGCTTGGACAAGCCACTTTAAAACGGGCAATTCTGGCAAAGGATGTGTGACTGCTGGTTGCTGGGCTCTCAGGGACAATTCAGGCTCCTGCCCTGGGGCAACACACACCCACAGCTCACCTTAGCAATGGAGATGGTCTGCTGCTCCATGGCCTCGTGGATGGCCACACGGTCATCCTCCCGCATCTTCTCATCCAAGGTGGGAGAAATGAGGTGGAGTGAAAAATAAATAAATAAATAAATAAATAAAAATTTCACCAAAGCTCCACCAAACCTCAGCTACACACACACACCACCCAATGCTGACCCCCCCCCGAGGTAAAGCTCTGCAAGGACCTCTGCTCAAGAGTGCAGAACATAACCAGAATTTCCCTGCAGCCCCATCCCCTGACCTTCCCTGAAAGAAAGTGGGGCAGCTTCAGGGGAGCCACCCTTTCTCCTGCAGCTCTGGGCTCTCCTGGGAGCAGCCAGCAGCCCAAGGGCTCTTTTCCCCACTCCTGTGTGGGCAGCCCCACGGGTACCTTGTCGAACTCATCGATGCACACCACTCCCCCGTCTGCCAGCACCATGGCTCCTCCCTCCATGAAGAAACTCCTGGAGGACGGGTCGCGGATCACCGAGGCCGTCAAGCCGGCAGCGCTGCTGCCTTTCCCTGAGGTGTATACCTAGCAGTGTGCGGGACAAGGAAGGGGACAGCACATCAGCTGCCGTGGGACCCAGGAGCCCGCTGCTCCAGCTGAAGACAAAGCAGCCCCTGCACTGCAAAATCCAGAGCTGCTGGAAGAAACGCAAAGCCCTCCAGGAAAATTTCCCTGCACACGCCAAAAGCAGACCTGCTGGATACAGAGCAAGACTATTGCATAGTCCCAGGCCTTGGACTGAGCAGTTGTGACGCACCGGAGGGCTTGCAGACATGCAAATACAGGTATTAAGTACAGAACAGGGAGTGATTCATTGTTTGGTGGGCTGCTGCATTAGTTTTGTTTTCCTCCTGAGGGAACAATGCAGTCAGAGGCTGACTTTAATGGAGACTACAAGAAAACACGGCTGAAAATATAATTTCATGCCTGGGTTCAGCCTGAAGGTCCGTGCCTGAGAAGCAGTCAAGTTCATTTGCCCTGAGCAGCCAGCCTCTCTGCTCATCATGTCTCAAAAATAAACAGCACCACTCACGTCTTTGGACATCTGCAAATAGCCTGGCTCACATCATGACGAATGGCATTACCTGCTTCCCCTTCCCCCCTCTCATCCCCCTTTCTGCACCCCATATCTTCCAGGCTAGCACCAGAAATGGCAGTTCGCACCTCCACCAGCCAGTATAGCTGGGAGCTGAAAGAAGAAATGAGCTGCATTACAAGTGGTCACTTCAAACCACCTACCCCAATAGGTGAACACTTCTCAACGAACTTCAGCAGCTGGGATTTGGCTGTGCCGGGGTCACCCAGCATCAGTAAGTTGATGTCTCCTCTGCGGGTCAGTCCATCTGGGAGCCTGAAGTGACAGGGTGGGGAAAAAGAGATGGAGGAGTGATGGCGAGCCTTCATTTTGATAACCAGGCATTGCTGACAAGTGGCAGGCAGTTGGTAGCACCACCAGAAGACTGTATGAGGGCTTTGGTCCGTGAATGACTCCCCTGCCACCACCCTCTCTCCACCAGGCTGACTTTTCCCCACCTCTTGCGAGAGCCTCCGAATAAGAGGCAGGCAATGGCTTTCTTGATGTCAGTGCTGCCATAGATGGAGGGTGCAATGCTCTTGGCGATGGTCTCATAGATGTTGGGCATGGCAGCAAGGCGACGAAGTTCCTCCTCTTCTTGAGGGGTGACTGAGCCAGCAAAGCTGTGTCCTGTACAGGGATGAGGAGAATGATGCAACAGCAAACAAAAGGATGTTTTACAGTAAACGACACTACTCCCCCACACCCGCTACCACCAAAAGCCCTTCCTGAAGGTCACACCACCAGGTAGGAAGGGTGGAGAGGGAAGGCATTTGCTATCCCAGCAAGGCAGGCTGTGTCCTTAGAGCCTGGCAGGAAAAAGCAAGGATCTTGGGCAAAGCAGCTCTGGAGGAATCAGAGGGAGAATTACAGTCAGGACTGTGTTTTAAATACATAGCTCAATTTTAACCATTAACTTCAGCCCAGGTCCTCAGGGATGGCTTAGCAGATTGCCACTAAGATCAATTAAGATAAAAGCACTTAAATACTCTGGAGAACTTGAGCTGAAACCTCCTCATTTAATATCACTGAGAAAAAGTCATTCAGGACATGACTATAGATCATCCAGGGCAAGTTAGACCCCTGGACTGGCTTGAACCTTCTGCTATATAAGCAGCAGAGCAGGACCCAGGCTGTGATTTCACACAGTACTTGCCGAGGAACCACCTTGTTCAGGAAGGGGGCTCTCCCAACACCAGGCTACCAACACAGACCAGATGGGCACCAAAAGTAGACCTCACCTGAACCCTCCACATCCACCTGGATGCCCACCACACGGATGTAAGCGCTTCGGATGCCTACGCCCACGTTGTCACGGGTTCTGTTCTTGCTCTGGGCAGACTTCTTGATGGAATAAATGCCCATGATAGTGACTCTGTTCCCTGGGACAACTTTGTCACACAGGTACCTAAGAGGAGGAAGGGGAAAGCAGCGGGGGAAGGGATGGCACCAGCAACACCTGCTAGCCCTGCGGGGCAAGGGTGGGGAGACCATGCTGGTACCTGTCACAGTACAGCTGCAAGTGCCGGGGCATCTCCCCGTGCGGCACGGCATCCGGGGACTCCTGCAGCTTCAGGACCTGGAAGTCCACACACTTGCACTTATCTGGCATGATGAAATAGGGGTCCAGCGGGCACTTTGGGCGGCCAGCTTGTTCTCTGTGCGGAGAGATCAATCAGGGAAGGCTGCTGGCACTCAGGAGCCACCCTTGGGAGCCCCCTGTAGAGGGGACAGCGGTGACGGAGCCCAGAACAGCCGCCCCTCCGAGCGGTGCCCAACAGGTGAGAAGGGCAGTCACACGGGGCCGAACCAAAGCCTCACCAAGCCCTCTGTCTTGTCTTTCGACAGCTGCCAAAAGCAGGCACAAGAACAAGCCAAAGACAGGGCGATACCTGCCTGAGTACTCTCCCTGCCTCCCCCCCTCTTCCCTGCTAGCTGAAAGCGGGGAGGAAGGCAATTCATTAATTACACAGAAGATAACAGTATAGACTCAGCAACACGGCAGGGCATTTTTCTTTATAACCTCGGGCACGAAGCAAATGTTAAGTGGTTTCTGGTGAGAAAGCAATTAGCAATGTGACAAGGCTGCCATCAACCTCCAGTCTCTCAAGATGTATCTGCCTCGTTAGACTACAAGCTCTCTGAGACAAGGAGCATCTCCACGTCCTGCTGCCGTCCCAGTACATCACTACCGACGCCCGACTCCACGCAGGACTGTCAGGGAGGATAACGTGAGAGCGCAGATGAGCTTGTGCAGTCAAGGACCAAGGTGCTGTACAGACCACATGCAAGAATGATCCCTATCCCAAAGGCCTCTCAAGCTGCATTAGAGATAAGGTGCAGAAAATAAATACTGGCAGGCACAATCTACCGGGATCAAGCAATCGGCACGAGAGCTGCGGCACAGCGGCAGCCTAACGCTCACGGTTTGCGTGGGCATCGAGAGCTGTAAAGCGGGATTTGAAAGTTAGTAGCAAAGCATCCCTACAGAAGGTAACACAAAACAGCCCCCTGGGGAGGGAGAACATAGAACAAGAAGTTTGTTCGAGAAAGATAAGAACTTAACAGGAAGTTAAGACAGCAGCTTAATGCAGCGTTATGGGATGGCCGGAGGCAGGAATGAACCTTTAGGTACAACAGGCAAAGCGCCCTGCAGATATAACGAACTCCCCGAACACGGCCGCTCAACACCGCTTGCAGCACTGGTCACGCAGCACCACGACCAGCGTGAGCGCAGACAGATGGAGCTCAAACCTGCCAGCCACGGGTGCACACAGGCACAAGGGCAACACGAAGGGAGGAGGCAGAGAGCAGTGCAGATGCTTCTGCCTTGCGCAACAGGGACCTGACATTATGCAGCACGCAGGGGATGGAGGGGGAGCAGGAGGAGGGGATGCAGCCTTTTTTTTTCCCACCAGCCTGCCGCATGCATCTCCGTGTCAGTCCTTACGTGTTGCATTTCCTGGGGAGAGCATAACCCTCCAAGCCCGGGCGCACCGCAATGTTGCTGATGGTGTTGCGGCAGCTGCGGCACTGGATGGCTATTCTGGTGGCTTTGGCTCTCACGGGGGTTGCTGCAATTACGATCCCAGGGATCTTCACAAGGTGGGACATCTGGTCAGACTGAAAGGGAAAAGGTGAAGGGAAGGTGAGAAGCTGTCGCTGGAGGATGGATGGGAAACTAAAGAATTTGAAGAAACACAGTTCGTTCTTAGCTACGCTTCCCACATTCATGAGACTAAGGCACCAGAACAAAGCAGCCTGCACAATGTCACTCTTTTGCTCTACCGTAGTAGAGGAACGTTGCATGACTTAAGTCATGCTGATTTCAAAGGAAGAGAGAAAAGAAAAAAACACTCCATGCAGAACATCACCACCAGCAGTAATGTCTCTGCAGCAGGAACCAGTAATAACAGTCTCTGCAGTCAGATTTCAGTTGCAGAGTACCCCTGCTTGTAAATTAGTGTACAACCTGTGTCCTGAAGTACGTGATCAAGTACCAAAAGCTTCTCTGCAATCACACCCACACACAAGCAAGCCCTGCTGCTCGCTGCTCAGCGCGGCAGCCGATTCACCTCACCTTCAGGCTGCGGATGTTGGCTGCGTTTGCATCCGATCTCAGCATCACCTGGATGTCTTGGAGAGTTTCCTCCCCTGAAGGACGAGGACGGGTGACCTCATCTGCAACTTCTTTTGCAGCTTCTTCCAACTACAAAAGGAAGAACTAGGCTATTATGGGTACATTACGGTATATCATCAGGGCTGCTCTCAACATCAGCGTGCCAGGTTGCCAGCCTCCCCCATCCTTACCAGCTGCAGGTGCTCTGCTGGTTGCTTGTACAGATAGTCAGCGAGATCTTCATCAAAGCTGGCCAGGTCTTCCATCTCCACCTCCACCCAGTACTGACTCAGGTTATAGTGCCGTTTAAGCTCATCCCTGGAAGGCAGTAAGTGGTAAAGGTTTGCAGGGCAGAAAGCAACAGTCACCCACAGCGACCTTATGACAAGCAGTGAGCAGAGAAGGCAGGTTCTGCAGGAAGTCCTTGGTTTGGAAAGTAAACGGGGAAAATCGGGAGAGTGCCAAGAGACATGTTGGAGGACCTGAGCAAATCTTTCACCCAAAACCACTTTGAAATGTCACATAAGACCAGAGACACCAGTGCTTACAGTGATAACGTACAGTATGGCACAAATTGTTTACTAGAGTTATGCAACCAGACAGGCAATTAGAAAAACTCTATGCAGAATATCAATTATACCTAAAATACAATTTTAAAAAAGAAAGTTATAGCATAACAGGCAATGTTCTCCTTAAAAAAAGCCAGGGTGCATGAAATTCAGAGATGAAAGGAAAGATCGTCCCAGCCCTTGCATGATACATCTGTACGCCCTCTCACAGTTGTCTCTCCAAGCTGCATAGGCAAAGAGATGGCCAAGGGACCTTCGCAGCCCCAGAAGGCACACGTGGACAGTGCTGTACTGATTGTAATGGATACACACAAAACTCCAGACCAGAAAGCACTAGATCTTGAAGACAGACCTTGAATTTCAGAACTAGGTGCAAGCTTGGCAGTGCAGATCCCTCCATTGCTACCTCCGCCACTAGACAGCTGCCTAAAAATTCAGGCAAACACCAGACCTCAGTTTTTCTCTAGGGTTAAAATGGGAGCAATAGCATTTCTTATACTAACAAAGAGCTCTTTACAGTCTACGGGAAGAGAAAAGCTGACACGTGCGATTGTATACTGGGGCGTGCACAGCAGGAGGAAGGCTAACAACAGACTGGATGTGCCAAGAGGAGTGGGTAAGGCCACCGAGGGAGAAAAGGGGTCACGGCAGCACCTGTATTTGAAGGTGAAGCCCGTCCGGTCCGTGCCCA